TAAAATGTTCCCATTTCCTCCTACTTCAATTCTCTCATTTATTTCATTGCCTCCTTTTTATTCACAAAAATTTCACTAAGTTACACTAAATATTTTATCCCATTTTTGATCACGTTGTTTCCAATTTTCTAACATTATTTCTAAGTACAAATGTAAAAATACAATCTTGTGTACCTTTGCAGAATCCCTTTTTCAATTAAGTTTACCCATTATCTCTAAATGAATCTTGTTTCTTTACATCTTGCTCCCCACCATTAAGGCTTCTCATCCCTTCCTTCCTCCCTTGCTTGTTCTTCTCCCTGCCCTTTTTACCCCCTTGTCTCTCCACCTCCCTTTTCTTCTTCTGCTTTCCCCCTTTCTGTTGTTTTCTAACATTATATCCACTTTTCACCTTATTTTTCCCTTTTTTGGGGTTGTTTTTTCAAGTCTTAAAGTCCCCTTTTTCTTTTCCTCTTTGTCCCTTTCTTCCCCAAATAAAGTTACTTGTTCATCAAAGATGGCTTCTTCTTTGTCCCAATCATCTTGTTGTGCAGTCAGTTTCTCATAAGTGCAAATCGCCATTTCTAGAAATTGAAAGAGTGCCAAGAGAGTCTTTCCCTTCTTGTTCCTCTTCTTTATATTTTTTGTATTCAATTTTCAATTCATCCACAAGTGATGCCATTGTAGAAAGAAAAAGTTTTTCCAAAACAACCACCCAAGTGTTTTTAGTCAAAAATAATTCCCAAAAGTCCCAAAGTCACCAAATAATCCAAATAGGCTATTTCTTTTAACACTTTCTTCTTTCTTCACTTTCTCTTTCTGGGGTTACTGTTTAGTTACAAAGTTCCAGTTAAAATGTATCTTTTAGAAGTCTTGTTAATATTTAATAATTCTTTAAGATTCTAGGCAATCTCCTCCTTACTTCCAAATCCTGCTCCAATTCTTTTCCTCTCCCTTCCCACTTACAGCAAAAAAGATTTTTTTTTAAATATTCAGAAATCCTTATAGGGATTCAATTTTTTTAACTACCGGTTCTGGGGGCCTGGCTTGGTGAGCATAGCTTGGTGGGCATGGCATGGGAAGGATATTGTAAAATCTCCATTCCCACCCAACTCCTGGGGGAAGGTTACTGCAAAATCCCCACTAACCTGCTTTCCAATTCCGTTCTCCTGGGCAGGGCAACCAAAGAAGACCCAGCCGATCAGCAGGGACTCAATGGGAGGCGGACAAGAGATGGGGTTGGCAGGGCCACTCAGAGGTGGGATTGGCCGGTTCTCCGAACTGCTCAAAATTTCTGCTACTGGTTCTCCAGAACTGGTCAGAACCAGCTGAATATCACCTCTGGTTCCAGGTACATATGGTCCTAGCTGGGTTTTTTCCTCCAAGCACAAGGGCTATGAGGAAGTCCAAGAGAAACAATGTCCTGTAATGTTTCAAAGAACACCCACTTCATGTACATCACTAGCTAGCATCCATATAAAAGGGGGAACCAAAGGGACTCAACAGCCATTTTCTCCCAGTGTTGAGAAAATTGAGCCTGAGAAAACTTTGTCCTTGTGGAATAATGTTAAATAAATATTCAGTATTTCTGCAGTGATTATATTCTACTTCTAAGATGGCCAAATCACTAACTGTACTTTACAGAGAAGTTAATGTGTATCTTAAGGTCATCTCAGGAGCTTTCTCATGTTAGTTATGAGCTTAACTTCTGTTGCTTCTCTTCTCTTATTTTTAAGGCAAACAAAGTGAAAAACCTTAGGAATAAAGATGTTCTCTACACCGTGGGATTCTGGTTTTCCAGACTTTCAAATCCCAGAATCCAATTCCCTTGGAGTTTCCCTTGTGGAAAACCTATAAGGGAGATTCTCCCTACTTTGTTTTGAAAGATGCTACAAAGATAGTTTCAAGAGGACTTAAGCCTTCTCCCTGTTGTGAGTCAGGTGTTTTGTGTGTGTGTGTGCATGCCTGCTTTGATTTTGGTTCTGGGTTTTGGTCTTTCTCCTTCTGCAAGTTATTTTAAGGCCCACCAGATGACCTGATCAAGATGGCATCCAGCCTTGGGAATATATTCTTTAAAGATGGTATAAAATGCATCTTCATGCCACTTTTAGCAAAATGTGAGGACGAGACATTATGTGAAGTAAGAAGACATTAAAATTTCATGTTAATGTATTATATTGCACAAATCAATATCTATCATATTGAGTAAATCAATGTAGAGGTATCCACGGAGAGGGCGTCAAGATGGCAACCACAACTGCAAGATCAAACCCCAGAATAAAAAAAAAGGCCATGTTCTCACAGAACATAGTGAACAAGATAAATTGTCACCTTATTTCCTGGGGCAGTTGACTCCAAACTGCACTGAAGCCATTGTCATGTAACTAACTCTAAACTTGGCAAACTTTGGGAGAGCCACATCACAGAGACGGACCATGGAGGAGCAGAAAAGGCAAGGTGCTCCCTACGGCCGAGCTTCGGGACAGCCACAGGGCACGTCCCCCAACCCTCTGGCTGGCTGCCCAGTTGCCTGCCTGCCTGCCTGCCCATTAGAGAAGCTGCGGCTGACACAGAGACCTCTTGCTTGCATACCCGAGGCCCAGGGAGAAGGGGAAAGGCTTCTGCACTGCCCTGAAATGCACAACTGGGTTGAGCAGGCTGTGTAAATGGAGCCAACTGCCACGCTTCCTTCGTGGTGAAACATCTGGGGTGCATGGAGCCCAAATGAAAACAAAAATAGTTCCACTCTTCCTCTTTCACACACATAAACACATTTGTTTAAATTCATTGTTTATTTATATTTATTATAAACTTTTCATAGAATAAAAGAATCAAATGAAGTGTAAGAAACATTCACATACATTCATGTACACATTCCATTTATTTCTAACCAGAAGTCAGTTCCAGGAACCCTTTGGTGCTGAGTAAAATACTTTGAGCAGCCCTGTTTTTAACTCTTCGTATGTGCCTTTTTATCTAGATTTCTGATTTTCAAAATAACACACTTGTGAGGCACTCCCAATTAACTAGGGTGCTATTCTGCATCCCGTAACAAAGGTAACAAATGTCCAAAACAATGAGAGTTCAGAATTCAGGCCATTGGGTTGGAATCCGAGTTATGAAAGGTTCGGTGCAGGGGAATCAGAATATTGTAGTGTAGTTTTGCATCATGTGAGAAGTCCTGCTCATCCCAAAGAAGGAAATATTTCCTCTAGGGTTGCCACAGACAACACATGCAACGAAATGAAATGACGTGCATTGATTTATGTAAATGACACAGAATTTCCATTTTGTTGGATTTATTTCTTCCAAAACAGTCAGACATGCAAAAACAACACTCATGAAATGCATTTTAAATGCAATGACTTGTGCTGCAAGGTTCCTCAAGAGAGATCTCTCAAATCGGGCGCCAAGGGCTCCCGGGGCATTGGGTCCACGGTGGGCCCAGCTGGCTGAGCTGGGCATGTTAAAAGCACCTTCACATCATACGATTCCAGAATCTCTCCTTGATGGGACATTTGTCTCAATAGGCACTCCCAATTGGAGGAATTCGACATTTTACTGAAAATGTGCCTTTTTTTTTCTTTCTTTCCTGGATTGCTGCTCCAGAACTGAACTCCTGGCTGTTTCTGGTACTACTGTCTTTTGCTGCTGGGTTCTTTTGAATTCATGCCCTGTGCCCAGTTTTGGTGGTTGGATTTGGGAGAGGACTCTGCTCCTGAACGGCTAAATGGCATTTTCCATGATACGAAATGGGGAGGGGGAATTGCACGCTGTCGTCCATTAAAAAATACCGAGGAGCAGAGACTGCTCCGCTTTGAGCCAAGCATCAAGACCGTGAAGTCTGGGGGGACAGAAGAGCCGAGAGGGACAGTGAGTCAGTAGAACTGGCAGGTAGGGATGTCGGGGGAAGGAGTTTACTGTAGGCTGCCTATGAATCAGCCATGCGAAGGGGCTGCCAAAAAGGCCAATTTAATTTTAGGTTACCTCAACACAATTCCCAAACCATACGAAGTCATCACTCCATCCCCCTGCGCCTCAGTCACGCCTCGGCTACTCTGCCTGGTTCTGGGTGCCACATTTTAAGAAAAGGCCAGAAAAGCCTCAAACACCTGGAAGGCAGCTGCAACTGCTATTAGGACACCCTGGTTGACTTGAGCCATGACCATTACCACTTACGTACTTGAGGGCCGTGTCACAACAGAGTTACAAAAGGTTGCATTTCATCACTTTATGCGGTGGGCAAGGACGCCAGGCACATATTGGGGGGGGGGGGGGGTGTCCTCTCGCATTCCAGAAAGCCAGAAGCCAGGCAAGGCCTCTGAGCCACAGGAAGGCAGCTTCGCATCAAGGCTCGATGGGCGCCGAGCGGGGGGGCCTCCCTTCCCGGGGAGCTTTTGTGGCACAGAAAACTTGCCGCCATGGAGGCTGGGATGGTCCCCTTTCCATTCCGGCACTGAGCGGGGAGGGGAGGGGGCTTCATCCCAGCTCCAGGGACGAAGCCCACCCGGTCAGCTTCCGCTTCCATTCCACGCATTCCATCTTCTCTCTAGCTTTCAGATCTCGTGGGGGCCTCTCTCTCTCTCTCCCCGTATTGACTCGCCTTGGATGGTGTAGAGGGGCCACAAGGAGACCCTCCGCCTCTTGCCGGAGCCCCTTCCCTCTCCCGCCCCATCGCCTCCCCGGAGACGCCGGAAAGCGGGGCGCGTGCAGGGCCCCCCTGCCCCCCCCCAGCCCGGGCCGGCGCAGAAACCTCGGCGCGGGCGAAGAGAAGAGCCGGCCAGCGGAAGACCCCCCTCCCTCCCTCCTCCCCGGCGCATGCGCTGGGCGGCCGGAGCGGGGGAACTCTGGGATGTTTTCCCCCGGCTGCCTCTTTCTCCGCCAGCGCCTCAGCCGCAGCCACGGAAGGCGCCCGGCCGACCGCCCGGCCATGGGGAGCCCCCGCGCGGAGGAGGACTGAGCGGGCCGGACAGGAAGGGCCCCCGGGGCCGCGCCCACCAGCCCTTTAGCCCGCGCCCACCATGGGCAACGAAGCCAGCCTGGAGGGCGGCGAGAGCCCGGCCGGGCTGCCCGAAGGTGTGGCCGGGGCCGCGGCGGGGGACCTGAGCCGCTTGAGCCCGGAAGAGCGCAGGCAAATCGCCGCCGTCATGTCAAGGGCGCAGCAGGCGCTGCCCTCAGGAAAGACCGCCGGCCCGGAGACGCCGCCGCCGCCTCCCTTGACAAGGCACGCCCGGGGCAGAGGGGAGGGGAGGCCCGCGGGCGGTGGGGCAAGGCCGGCTGCACGTGCCGCCTTTCCGGGGAGGAGTGGGGGTCCATCCCCGCCGTCCGCCCGCCTGCTGTGGGAAAGCCTTCCGGGGCTCCTCCGGCGAGGATGGGCTGAGCGTCGGTGTCTCGGTTCCCCCGCGGTGTTTACCCGAGCCAAGATGGGAGCAGCTTCCGCTCCGGGGGGGGGGGGGGGGGGGGGGGGGGGGTTCCCCGGCCCGGCGCTCCGCCGCCCCCCCCCCCCCCCCCCGCCAAGGTTTGGAAGCCGCCTCCGTTTTCCCCGCGCTCTGTCCCCCCCTCTCCCCCTCCGGCGCTGGGTTGCAGCAGCAGCAGCAGAAGCCGCCCTCGCCGGCCTTGGCTGTTGATGGAGGCCAGCGAGGAGGAGGAGGAGGAGGAGGAAGAAGAAGGGAGGCTGGCGGGCCCCCCGGGACCGCTCCCGCCCGCCCGCCGCTTCGTCCAGAGAGAGAGAGAGAGAGAGAGAGAGGCGGGCGGTGTCTCCGGCACTCTCGGCCGGGCGGGCCCGAGCAGCTGTCCAAGTGCTGAAAGGGCCGCTTCCATCGGCGCCTCTCCCGCCGCTGCCCGTGGAGGCTCTTCGCGCTGAGCGGCCGCAGGCAGGCAGGCAGCCATGCTGCAATATGCTGCGTGGTTGCGGGTGTGTTTGTGCATAGAGTGAAACCCGTTTTGGCCCAACTCACATTGTGCGAGCCTGACAGTGATCGACGGGTAGTTGTGTCTCGAAACCTCCTCATTGGAATACAGAACCCAGGAGATTTGTAAGCGATGTTCAGAACCCAGCTTCCGTAAGGTATAGTGCCCAAGGTTTGGTGCCATTTCCCCTTGCACCTGGCTTCCCTCAGCCTGGATGGAAGGGTCCCCAAGCGCTGTCCTTGCTGACCCCTGGGTGGCCCCACCATGTCATGCCAAAATGGCATCTGTGCAAAAGGGCCAGTTGCAGCACCAGGATTAGGCGAGGCCCGCTTGAGCATTACATATGGTATACAGACACATGTATGAGCCTGTGGGCATGTAGTAGCACTTAGACTATATAAATAGTCTAAATCTATATGAGTGATTTATACAAGAAAATGATGCAACGATTGAAAAATGTTATCTGTTCAATTGATCTACTACAACAGAGTTTGGGTCTAAATTAATGTGTTTTTCCTACTGACAGCTCACAGAATAATTTTAAGATTTGCCTGCATATGAGGATAAAAATAATATTTGAACATATTGGTATATGTTCTCTGCAAACATGTAAAAAACCATATACTTGGTGCTAATTATTTGCCCTACTTGTTCAGTGAGATTTTCTCCGTATTTTGTATATTTCAATCTTAATGTAATTACCTCATTCTAAAGTAACAAGTTTTATGGATTGCAAACAGTAGAAATATATCCCGCATAAATACTGCTTAACTAATGTTTTACTTGATGTGCTTAATGTTTTACAAGTTTTCTAATCCCATAGCAACTATATGCACAGTATATCTATGGCCTACAGTTTAGGCTGAATGAGGTGGCCATCTAACCCAACATTAGTTCTGCATCCTGTTAAATTAAAGTGTGGCATTCAATCTGTCCCAAGTATTTACTGCCCTTACATGTTTTGGGTTCTTTTTCTCTTGACTTGGGACACTGGGGACTTTCCCATTTTTCCTCCATCTCAGGTTTTGCCTATTTACGACTTTGTCTTACTGCTACCAATAGTATACACTAATTTCCAAATCACTTTTTCATTTGTGTACCTATTTTTAATTAATTATTAATTTAATTTAATTAAGTTAATGTATACCTTGGCCTATCTTTTGCAATAATTTACATCTATGCCTAAATATCTCTTGACAGGTTGGCCTGTTTTTCTTCACCAAGAGGTGTATGTTAATTAAATTTAAAAGAATGTTGCCATTACTTAAATATTAATTTGTACCTAGAAATATTGCCAATTATCTCCAGTTGTGAAGTGGTTGAAAAGCAAAATCTTTCTGCTGACCCCACAATTATACAATATCAAGAAGGTGCCTCAGTTGGGGAAACTTATCCAATGGATTAGTTATGATGAGATGCATTCAACTTTATCTGTTAATTCACAGGAACTTCAGCAAATCTAAATGCTTATAGTAAACAAGACAGGATCTACCAACTGATTTGCTGATTTGTTTTGTTCAGATAGTTTCCCACACAAATGGCTTATCAGATGCTTTAAAAAAACTCACAAACAGGCTCCAATTCTGTAGGCAGTATGTAGTTCTTGTACTAGATGGCCATAAGTTTGTCTAACATTTGAAGATTTGATAACCACCATCGCATCATAAGGAAGTAACTTCTGCATTTCACTATGCACTACATGAGGAAATATTTGGCTTTGCTTGTTCTGAATCAGCCTGCATAGTATGATCCCAGAATGGTTTTGATTTGTTATATATAAGTGTTCATTTTATGAGTTAGGTCAATCAAAATTCTGAAATTGAACTGGAATTATATGGGACAAAATAAGGGTAGGCCTAATAGATGCAACAGATTTGACAGAAATGACAGATTTGACAGAAGTGACAGAAATCTTCCTCAAGTCAGATTCAGTTCCTGGTAACTTCACAGGACTGAATGTAGATAGCTAGAAAACAATATGAAAATTGTTACCTCTGTAAAGATTAAAACATTGTTTAATGTTGTAATAGCACAGCAAATCTCAGGCTTCATTTCTTCTACTTCAGATTAATTAGCATTTTGCATTAGGCCCAGATCCATAGTCCTAACTCTAGTTAATTGAAACAAGCCAGCTTTGTAAATAAGATCTGAAGGATACATATTTCCATGAACTTAGTTCATCTACCTAGTTCGAATGACAGAACAGCTTTGAAAAACATGCCTTGAGTTTCTCACCGCTGTAAGGAAAAGGAAAGAAGGAGAAAAATGCTTTTAGAGGAACTTTGGATGGCAAACAGAAATAAAAATATAAACCAGAACCATGACAAAATAGATCAATAGACCCTAATAATGTTATTACTGACATTAGAAGTCAGGATCTCTACTAAGTTATTTATAGTTTTCTCTCCTCAGTAAATATGTATATGACCATGTTGTTTTAATATACTTTAATATACTTTAATATACTTTTTCAGTCTGTCCCTTAGGTTTTTTTGAAGTCTGTTAGGGATGCAAGTGGTTGTTTTTGATAGGCCTGATAATCCCTTCCAACCTAAGATTCCACATAGACAGGTAAAGGCATCTCTTTAGGATCCAATTCACAGATTATGGCTTGCCAAATAGGCCACAATTAGCTGAATCCCCACAAGTCCCAAGCCATGTTTTACAAAATAAAACAGGCCAATTCCTGTCGGTCTCTTCTTCCTCTGCCTGCTGCCTTTTCTCCTTTCCTTTCATCTCCCTTGCAGCAACCCTGCGAGGCAGGCTGGACTTCCGTAGCTGAGGATTTACTGGACCCTCCCTGGGGTCTTCAGTTGTGGCCTTCGCTAAAGCCCCTCCCCCACCATGGCTTAGCCCAGGGCAGGCGGTGAGCTGGACGGAGTATAACTGACACGTTTTATTCCTTGTGGAGGAATGTTTGTGCTAAAATACTGAGGGCTTTTGATTTGGAGTGCTGAGGGATAAGACTGAATGCCCTTAGCTGAACTTGAATGCTTTTTTTCCCTCTGTTAGAAATTTGGGACAGTTAAATGAGAGGACCTTTTAGTCAGAAGAGAATGTTGGCTGTTTCCTTTAAAATGCCAAGCTTTTGATATGCAGAAGTATTAAAGAGAGGAAAAACTTGCTAGGCAGCAAATGCCCTGTACAGATGCACTCTGTGTCACCTCAGGCCTAAACCATTTGGGGTATGTACACAGTATTGTTCAGAAATCAGAAAGCTTTTCAATTACAATTCAACAACACTGTGTGTGTGTGTGTGTGTGTGTGTGTATGTGTATATGTGTATATGTGTATGTGTGTGTGTGTGTGTGTGTGTGTGTGTGTGTGTGTGTGTGTGTGTATATATATTTTCTTAAGTTTTCGCGGGTACTTACATGTATGGTATTCAGCTTTGTTCGGGTATTTTGCCACGTCATTATAGTTGTGCTTTTAAAGTTGTAGCAACGTTTCGGCAGAATCTCATCTGCCATCATCAGGCTTCTGTATTGTGTTCGTCTGTGAGTCAGGCTTCAAAAACAGAAAAGGCTGTGAAGCCAGATTAAAATACATCAAGTCAGTTGATGAAATGTTAAGAAATGCTGGTCTTCCTTGGGAGAAAAACAAAAGCAGAGTGAGTTTACTGGCACTTGTTTTCATGTAAGCAGGTTTAGTATATATATATGCATGTAGATGTGTATATAAATGTCTACGTGGACATAGACATAAAGATATGTCAGTCCTCCACCCTTAGCCTTGTCTAATGTTAGTGTATTGAGCTCATGGGCTCTATGCATTCTGTGAAATCAAAACACAATTTCCGTACTGGGGGGAATAACCCCAACTCTCTGCCCTTTGAGGTTTTCATAACAGCAGTTTTCATGTGGTCCATTCTTTCGGCTTTGGGGTGACTTCTAGGTGGGAAATGGGGTGGCTTGTTTTTAGAGGCCTCCTGTTCTCTTCTCCAGCTTTAATATCTATTCCTACCAGTTCTCATGGCTTCTGGTGATAAGGAAAGTTTGTAGTTGGTTTCTAAACTTTACCCCTTTCCACTTCTGTTCCTAGTGATTGAGTCACATCTAAAGTATCTCTGGTTCCTTTAGGCAAACCCTTCCAGAGACTCATCTTCAATCAGCTGATATAAATTTTACTTTATCTATGTAGGCACTCTTATGTGCCTTTCTGAAGTGTAACCTTTGGTTATAAATACATTTTTAGCAAGTGAGGGCTTGCGTGGATAAGATATGTTGTGATGGATCAAACCTTTTCTGTTATTCACACATCCCTTTGTGAGAGATCCAATAACATCTATTAATTAAATTAAATCTGTTTATTACA